CTTCTTCACAGTAAATTTGGACACATGAACAACACAACAAAGATTCACGTTGGACCTGAATTGGCATCTCAAAATCCAACAGCCAGAAAGCAGGAGGAGAGTACGCTGGCTGTCAACATATTCTGCAAGGCTGCAAGAATACACTAGATTCCCGAGTGCTCAAGTTCATGGTACTGGGGCATAAAATCTGAGATCATACCAACCACCTTCTTCAGATGTTTATGATCACAACTCTCATTGCAAGCACCGATAAGGGCTGCTTTAATTCCTCGCCTACGTTATTCGTGAATGTGGTAGACTTTGCAAACACTACATCTGTAATCACATGTAAAAGAGTAGGAAGATGCTCATTTAGGTACCTTGAAGTCATAAGTGGCATCAGGATTTTCATCGCAGGCAATGACCTCGGGGGCCATCCAGTAAGGCGTTCCAATGAAGGTGTTTCTCCTGCCCACCGTTCTGTCCAGCTGAGCACTGACACCAAAATCCACTGTGGATCAGAGAGACAACAGGGCATTGTAAGGTCGGAGAAAACCCGAGGAACTCTTCTGCTGACTGTAAAACATTGAATTCATTCAGACCAACTTCTCTGCACGATCAGGAGAGAAAGACAGGGCCAGAGACATTCCTGTTTGATCTCTGCTGGGATCAACAGAGGTCAGTCAAGGATGAACCTGATCATCTGACGTCCAGGTTTTGTAAGAAACCCTGTGCCTTTTCCTCCTTGCCAGGAGGCAATGAAAAGAAATCACAGCTCCTCACACTAATGAGAAACAGGGTTAGCAACATGAATAAGCAGGAGCCTTTGTTCTATGCTTTCTCATTTGAATTAAAGCCTGCCAAATATTGGTAGGAGCCTCATTTTTCTACCTAAATTCTTGCTGGAAATGGCAGAAATGCAGAAGACTTAAGGAACTAAGGGCCAAGGACAAAGGCCTATAGGGAAATGTCAAGAAGAGAGCTGCAAAATGAAGCAAAAACTCGTGAAATCAAATCAATGAGAGAATACTCTATGGTCCACTAAGTTCACTTTGTGCAACACAGTGGCTGGAGATTTGCCCTGGAGAATTTCCCCTGGGAGGGGAATCTTCACCAGCATAAAACCAAATGAGCTGGCGGTGCCATCTGTTAAGCTGGGGTTTTATTCTGCTGTTAAGAGAGGAGACATGGGAAAACAAGGCTTGCACCTCACTTTACCGGTGTATGGGATCTTCCATCACTAGTATAAATTAAAACACACAAAGACAGCCTTAATAACACTGGTGCTGGACAACTGAGGATATCAGCATGTCATCTCTGCTGATCTGCTGTCTTCCAGATATCTTCACGTGAATGCCTGGTCTTCTCCAGGGTGACTAACATTGCGTATGAAATTCAGAGTAGTTCTTGCAAATTAAGCTCTCTCCAACAGGTTGGCTTGGAAAAAAATCTGGATTATGTGACACAAAATTGACTGGACTATGATCCTGTGCAACACTAATATGAAGGTGCGAGGGAACAGCCTTTGATGACGGCTGGCGATGCACAGAGGCCAGTTTTCAATCCAGGGCATGAAAAAATGGTCTGATTGCTTAACCTGTATCTGATGGCAGAGCTGCCCAAACTACCTGTCTGAACAGAAACACAACTGCAAGTACATCTTTGCATGCAGAACTTGGCCATCAACCACTGGCAGTTTATTGCACAGCACTTGGTCAACACCCAAGGTCATGTTATTGAGGCTGGCACAAGTAAAAACACAGAGTAGCTCTTAGTATCCATCCCCTTTCTCCAAGTCATGTACAAGTCAGTTTTGCTGCTTCCCTCCAGCCAGCCCACTTGCAGTTTCCAAGAGCTCTAACCCACTCTTACCTAGTTTAACTTCTGCATTTTCCGTCAGCAATACGTTCTGTCCCTTGATGTCTCGATGAATTACTTTGTGCTGGTGTAGATGACTCAAGCCCTAGAGAATTCAGAGAAAGGTTAGAGGAATCCAAGTTCAAAGCATGTTATTTTCTGACATTCCTCCTCAACCAATTATGCTCCAGAAACGAAAGATTCACAGTTGGAGTAAAGCACTTGAGAATACTTTTGTTTATCATGTGTTCAAAATACTATCCAATGTCACACGCTGGGAGGACGTGCCCGGCAAGCAAGACGCCCACCGACGGGCTCTATTTGCTGCAGCGGGTGCTCTCCATAGCAGGAAACAGGAACCATCAATTCTATAGGGATTAAAACCAACCTTTCAGTTTCTGCAGGAACCCATATTAGCCCAAATTCCTCCATATCTCTAGACATATTTTCCCCCATGTTCTCCCTTGGCTTAGGGAGCCGTTTCTGTGGCAGAAACAACAGAATGGTTTGTCTCCTTTCCGCATTTCCGTCATCCAGAAACTGAAGAAAACAATTCTCTTGTTATATCGGCCCAATAAACGGGACTTCAATACACTGATAAGCTTGTATTAAAAAAAGCTACCATGTAAATACAAATATTATAACCTGCACATATCCCTAATGGAGATATAGCTCAAATTAAAAGCCTGTCTCAAAGACTAAAGGTAAACTAGCTTTTCTGTTGTGCTTTTTTATTAGCTCATTAATTTCTTTTTGCAACCTACATTTTTATTTCATTCCCTTATTATTTCAGTTTCAAAGTAACATCCACCTATATTGCCAGCTCAGTGAAAATATGGATTACTTCAAAAACTAATTTTGCATTAGGTTTACATTTCACATTAAACATTCATATTTGAAGAAGAAAATAATTTCTGCTATCACTTCTGGTAGTTATTAGTCATTTTACGCTCATTACCTTGGGACAACACTGTGGAATAGATTGTATCTGTACAGGAGCCCTTTTTTAGCCATGTTGTACGCAGTTAGAGGCACCTTTGTGCACTGGAGGCAAAGCAAAAATTTCACTGAATTTCAAAAAATCCTTTAACAGCGCAGGATTGAGTCTCATGTTAGAATTACAACAGGTCCTCAGCATCTGAACTAAGAATGAGCCACCTTCTGCAGCACAAAAGGTGGGAGCCTTTCATCACCTGAAACCCTACAGAGGTCACCAACCAACCGCCCCAACACGCAGCCAAAACGCGGGCGATGACACGCGATGGTGGCCCTGGGACATGAGTCAGTGGCTGGGTTCTGACTCACTGCCACGGTCTATTTGAAGAAGTAGGCGCACAGGGCTCAGACATTTAAAATAAGCCCGTGCAACTGTGGTTTCCTGGCACTGAAAGCAGTGTCCGTACAACACCTGATTAGCTACAGCGCTAGTGTCTCCTGCAGATCGTGTTGATGCAGACAGTGGCAATCAGGGTCAACAGAGAAGTGCTGTGTCACCCCTGGACGCCAGTGGCAGCCTCAGCAGCAGTGTCAGACACGGCCTTCTGGAGCAGTCATTTTGCCTTGTTTTATTTGAATGGCTCTTTCACAGTTTTCCTTCAAGTGCCCAATTTTTCTGTTTTCTCCTGAACAAAATCTTGGTTCATGGAGCAATGGATTTTAATGTCGAAGCAACTATTATGATCACATCATCTGACCTCAGCTGTGCAAAATGCAAGCAAGCCTTTGCTAAGCTGCCATCTCCCAGTACATGAAACTCTGGCACAGCCCATTTTAAGACATTGCAGTCAAACATTTATCTTGTGGGTATAAAAGCTGCAGCATCCTCATTAAAGCCAGAGACATGTGGATTTAATAAAACCTGGGGTGCTTTTTAATCATGAAGATTCTTTCCACTGACTTCATTAGTCCTCACCTTTCTGTTAATTGAAAATGTAATTCTAATGTAAATAAATCTTTGCCGTATTAATACTAAAGGAAATTATATTCTTGTTGAAGGAAAAAGAGGGTTAAAAGTCAGGGAACTAACAGAGCTAAAGGGCATTAAACAGGGCTTATGCATCCCACAAGCACATGAATCATTTGTGCCTGCTGGCACCAAAGAGGCTCCAGCCCATGGCAGCGTGGCAGCCAGGAAGCCTGCAGGGCCAAAGGCTTTCTGTGTCCCCCCAACACCGAGGGCAATACCCCAACAACCCCCAACATTTAGCTCCCTCTGGACACGTACCCGTAAAATCTCTCTGCAGATGTAGGCGATCCACTCTTCCTTCAAGGTGTTCCCCTTCGTGTTCTTGATGAGGTCGGTGACAGAGCCAGCGCCACAGAACTCCATCACCAGCTGCCAAATGGAACAAAAATGCAATTACTGCAATGACACCGACAGCATCCTCCAGGCTGCCCGACTCCAGGGCAGGACCCCAATGCTGGCAACGCAGCTGTGGAGCCACTGCAGTGCTACGCAGAGCCACCGGGACATAATCTTGAACCTATCATCTCTTAATCCATGTGGGTTTTGCTATAAAAATGAAACAATAAAAGCCTGGCAGGCTTTAAAGGCTTGTTGCTCTCCAGAAGGATGGGAACAAGAAACAGGAATCAGTCCAGTGCTGAAAATCAGCAGAGGAAATCGGAAACCTTGAAATCTCAGGCCCCACTGCTACGTACCCTTCTTTATACTTATGATCAATGTTTAGTATCAATATTTAGTATCAACAGCAATACAAGCAAAACTCCACCTCTTGCATATCAGTTCTTCAACTGTGAAAATGTGAAGACAAGAAGACAGATGTTTGAAAGCTTCCTACAATCTTAAAAACCAGATACACTTCTCAAATTTTTTTTTACCAGGAGGTCTTTGCTTTTGACCACCTTTTTGAGCAGGAAACCTTCCTTGAGGGGAAGCTTGCCATGCAGCTGTGGCTGGAGTCCTACCGCTTGGGTTGGTTCAAATGAGACTGGGCACCACCGCTTGTACCACTTACAAAGTTTCATCATATCAAATGCACAATGATCTACCCCGGCCCAAACCTAATCTCGTCATTGAGCAACGGTGAAATAAACCTTATAAAAATAGCATGGGATGCGAGTCTGCTCCCAGGGACATCACGGATCCCCACAGCATGCAGGAGCTGTCAGCATGCTCCAGAAAGCGAGCACCGACCGCGTATGCCACAAGCCTCCTCCAAGACCTGTAGAAGTGTTTCTCTCAGATGTGAAACCATGTTTTCCAATTCGATCAGCTTGCTACTAAAAGATACTGCCTTATAAGTCGTGCCTTGCCAGATTCTTCAATGTGCATGTTTTAAAGTTTCTTATCACATGAAGCTTACATGGCATTTAATGTTCTCCAAAGCAAGTGACATCACTTTATTAAAAGCATGGGCCAAGAGGAGAAGAGAAAGAAACAGCAGAAGGGTTACTTCTAATGAAATTGCTCAAACGCAGTGATTTAAAAGACTATCATAAATAAATGATCATTAAACCCAGACAGAGTACTGTTATAAACCTTCAGGTTAAATAAAATACTTGAGCAGACTATACCTTAGTTGGCTTTGACCATGCTCCTATCTTCAGTTTTGATATTAAGTTTCTCTTCTCTTCCTAAACTGACAGCTGAAAAATTCTTTATATATCCCTGTTATGTCAGGAAACTGGCTTCAAGAAAGAGATGGGTGACTGGCCAAAGTCTGTCCTGTGCAAAAGCTGCTGCAGCGCTTGCAGCTCTTCCACCCCAGCAGGAGACCAGCAATCCAGCTGGGTCACTGGGACATGGCCTAAGCCATGGGTTACTCATTGCTCACCGAATGGGGAATAATGGAACAACTGGTTTCAGTCGCTTTTCCTCTCTTTCTTCCCTTTGGGCGATTGACATGTCTAAGTGTCTGCACGTGTTTCTAATTAAATGAACGTTTGGGATGCCATGGCAGCAAGCATGGGAAGGAAAACCCTGGATAGCTGAGCCAGCCACAAACACTTTCCAACCTGAAAGGCTGAACCTCTCCAGTCCCCTTCCATGGAAATTCCTCCACAGGCTCTCACCAGGATTTGGAGCAGGATGAAGAGCTAGGGCATGCTATGCTATGTGTGGCAATCACAACGCTTAAAAGAAGATGGAAGAAATCCCATTAAAAGTACACAGTGCATCCACTGATTTGCCAGAATATCTTTACAGAGCTGGCAGTTCACTCGGTCCTCTACCTTGTCCTTGAATTTCCATAGAGCAAAGATTAATTTTGCACCAGGAGGTCAATAATACAGCCACCTGCTGATGTATCCCAAATGTGTAATTGTGAAATCTCCTGGAAATTAAAGAAAAAAACAGAGAGGGAAAAAGAAACTCCTACGGGGAGTGCTTCCAACTCGGCTTTTTAAGAGCTGCGCAGTCCTGTAACATCCATAGGAAAATATCCAGTACCAGCAGATCTCTGGCAGTACCAGCAGGCTCGAGGTCCAGTTGGGCAGGGGCCAAGGAGGCTCAGCAGTGAGCACGTGCTGCTAACAGCGAGGTGCTTCCCGAAAGCTCTGCCGCGAGTTCTCCAAGAAAATGAGCAGAAAGATGACGAGGCTGCCAAGTATCCCTGTCCGCAATGGAGAGCTGATGGACATCTGATGTGAAAAAACACCATTCACATCTAAGAGACCTTATCGCTCTCTACAACTACCTGGAAGGAGGTTGCAGCGAGGTGGGTGTTGGTCTCTTCTCCCAAGTAGTTAGCGATAGGACGAGAGGAAAGGGGCTCAAGCTGCGTCAGGGGAGGTTTAGATTGGATATTAGGAAAAATTTCTTCATAGAAAGGGTAGTCAAGCATTGGAACAGGCTGCCCAGAGAGGTGCTGGAGTCACCATCCCTGGAAGTGTTCAAAAACCAGGCAGACGTGGCACTTTGGGACATGGTTTAGTGGGCATGGTGGTGTTGGGTCGATGGTTGGACTGATGATCTTAGAGGTCCTTTCCAATCTTAATGATTCCTAGTTTTTACTTTCATTATAAATGATCCAGCCACCAAGCCAGGAGGCATGGGGTTGCTACTCTCCCCTTAATTGGTTTAGTGGTGGACTTGGTAATGTTAGGTTAATGGTTGGACTGGATGATCTTAAAGGTCTTTTCCAACCTAAACGATTCTATGATTCTATGATTTCCAGAAGGTTTGGATGGAACGGGAGGAAAGCTGGCAGCACGCTGCTGCGGCGCTTAGCAGCACTGCCATCCCCTTTGATCCTCAGATGGAAGGATGCTACAGAAGTCCCAACTACAGCTCACACAATGCGGCCTCCAAAGAGAGGAGAAAGAGATGACAGCTAAGGAGTCACACCAAGAGGGCAGGTGAGACCCCTCCCACAGCGCTGCGTGATAGAGCCCACGAACAAGAAACATGCACTGGAGCAGGTACAGAAAGATGAACAGGTCTTCTCAGAGGACCTGAGGACTTGTTCAGCCAGCCAGCGGATGGATGGCTATGGGATATGAGTGTATATTGTCAACAGTATGGATAGGTAAGCACCAGAGAGGGAGATGAACAAGGTAGATACTGGCATAATATCAATATATCAACACCCTATGGGTATATTTAGGTTGGAAACCAACAAACAGCCTTCCAGAAGCAAAGAAAAGGGAACAGAAGTTGCAGCTGATTTTAGGACAGAGCTTAGCGTATGCAGGAAAGGCTTCAAATGGCACTTACACTATGATATTTTCTTAGTATAAGTCCGATGTCTCTAGTTGAGTGCTTTGCCCTGCACACACTTGCATCATTACCAATCTTGTTAAAGGATGAAGTCATGATGGGGTAAGACAATAAACTTGAAATGCAGACTGAATTTTTATTAACCATAATTAAAATTATCATCAAGATGGGCTAAAGGTAAGATCATCTTCTGAAATTTAATTTACAAGGCCATTTATTGAGGAAGTATTTTTAAATACAGTTCATTTAGCATTTACTTAGCTCTTCATATCAGAGTGACAGCAAACTTCATAAGCAAGGCAAATTCAGAAGCAGCAGCTCTAAATCTCTGTGTCCTGCTGTCTCACAATTTTTTTGTTTAAAGAGCCTTCGCAGCTTTCAAATCAGCCACCACCTTCACCAGTCTGGGAATGGCCAGTAAGGCCTCTGTTCCCATTGCCACTGCACATTACCTGGAAGGGCTCAAACCTGAGCACCCCCCGTAGAGAAACCCCAATCCAGCTGATGGTGAACTGCTCCAGCTTGTCCAGAGGAACCCCCCAAACTCATCCAACTCCTTTACTCTGCAAGCCAAATCCTTCTGTGTTGCTATCCCTCATCCCACAAACAATTTAACTTCTCTTTTACAGAAAACAAGCACACAACATCCCCCAGCTAAATGCTGCTGGAAATCCTTCTTCCTGCTGCGGGTGTGTAAACAGAGCCCGGGTGCAACGCAGTCCCGTACGCCCTGGCCACCCAAGCCTCCCAACCCACCCCACAGCCCAGCTCCCTTGCACGAGGGTCCCTCACCACACACATCGTGGCACCCGGAGCCAGTGTTGGAGCATTAGAAAAATGCAGAGACCTTCACTTGGTGGATCAGCAAAGCTGATGTCCATCTCAGGAAGAGAAATACTGATCAAATAGGTATTAAGCAATGACTAAAATATTCTGTAGCAAGGTAAGCACAGGTTTTAATTGCCTGTGTCGGTGCTACAACGGGAACAGGCTAGGATGCTGCAGCAGCACGCCTGGGTGGGAGCAGCGGGGCCAGCGCTGCTCCGCTCTCCCCACTCTGACAGCAGCATCAAACCGCTCTCACACGTGTTCATAAATAAATGACTCGCCTGCCCGCACCCTGCCCGCACCTCCCTGCGCTTCCAGGCCACCCAAGCAATTCTTGTCCCTTAGGGAGCCGGCGGGCAGCTGCCGCCGTGGGTCCTGAGCAGGCTGAAAGCTTTGGGCTTAGGGACGGCAGCGAAAGGAGCTGGGCTCGCAGCCTTGTGGTGTTTACAGCACTGACATCGCTTTGAAGAGGAGTGAGAATAAAATAGCGTTGGCTTACTCAGCCCGCCAAGCAGCAGAAAGCCTCTGCTAACCCCAGGCTCTCGGTCGGGGCCGGAGGAGCTCCCCCCACACTCCCCTGGGAATGCAGCGTGTGGAGGGACTAGAGAGAATTACAGCTCAACCAAAAACCGTCCCGTCTCAAACGTTTAATGATTTAATTCCTGTGACGTGAGCTATCAGCAACCACCCAAAACTATTTTTCAGTGCCTATAAACAGATTGAGAGCAATCCTGCTCCGAGCTGCAGAGGTGCACTGCTTCGATGGCTTGTGCTCCATTTTCAGTGGAGCCTCGCTGCCCCCATTTTTGCTCTCCAGATCCCCGGTG